CCGCCATGGTAGCTCTCAACGTGAAGAAAGGTGCATACGCTCCACCGTAGTGCCTTCCAGCGCGACGAAATCATGTAAGCCCTCTTGTCTTATTGATTATTATACCTTCGCTTGTTTCACGTTGATTAGACAGATGATTAACGGAAAGTTGTCTCGTGCAGCGAGTTTGTGAAGGAAGCAGGGGCGTGGTGGAAGGGAAATCTTCCTCTGAACGATGCACCTACAGTAGTCGTGTCCGAGCCGTGGGATGTAGCAAAGATGGAGAGGTCATTGAAGAGGATGAATTCTCCCTTGATGAGCTCATGGGCGACAGCTCCTCAGTAAATGATGAGTTGTGATTCTGATGATTCTGGAACTGATCTGCGTTTCGATTAGGCAGACTGTAAATTTGAGGAACTCTGATGTTTTAAGAACTCATTCCTTTAGTGGGATAATTTTTCACAGGTTTTGGGTGCTAGAATGACAGGCACCTCTTCTTTTACGTTTTATTTTTGCCCTGGAAATAAAGCTGCTTGACGTGTAGTTGCTTGCCACCAAATGGTCTCCGTTTAGGAACATGCCTGGCTGCTCATACCATAGACCCAACCCCAGTCCGAGGACACAGAAGACGAAACATTACTGGAGCAGAAAAAGATTTGATGAGATCGGCATCGTATAGGCGCTACTGTTTCGCTTGACGAGTTGCAACTTCGCAAAGCGGCGCTGAAACTCTGAAGAAGCTGATGCTGATTGGTTTGCAGTACTTCTTGCCAACTTTCCCACACTTTGCGCCAAATGAATGCAACGTTATTTGTTGGCACCCGAGGATCTGCGACTACCCAAGGCCGTCCCTTGCCAATTGCACTGTGATTCCGAAGACCTGAGCAGCAGTTGCTCCGGGTACCCGTCAATAATGGACGACTTGAAGCAATTTTGGAAAGCGACTAGTAGTCAATCAAAGCTTTTTTTATGCACTCTGTAGTCTCGTACTTTCAGTCTGTCCTTCAAACCCCGTTTAGCAAAGACGTAAACGCAGATGCAGCTGCTACCGGTACTACTTGTTACCAATTATAACCAGTAGACAGTAGTGTATAATTCTATATGGCTATATGCTGCAAAGGTAATCCTACATGAATGCAAACGATGTTTCTG